AGTTAATTTTCGGTGATTTTGTTAGACAGTAATCAAGGCGCAGACAAACGAGACGAATGAGTGTAGCCTGGTCTGGTCCACTGTCTACCGCAAATTATCTCAGCGTGATTGTTCCCTCACATATGACTTTCTTTCAGGTACGAGTTCATAGAGGGAAATTACGGGTCTACGAGAAGATTCTCAGTCAGTATGATGGTATTCTGGCAGTTTTCTCAATGTGCACATGTGGATCCGATGTACACTTGCAACGCGAATCAAAGAAAAGGTTTCGACCTTTGGATCTCATAAGCTGCGTTCATACTTTGCGGCAGGGTCCCAGCGTCTACCATTGTCCGCTAGCGTTCCGACGTCAGCGTCAGCGACTGGGAAGGTAAAGTCATCGATCTAACGTCTGCCAGCGTCCACCAGCGTGCACCAGCGTCTCCCAGCGTTCGCCAGCGTCTACCAGCGTCTGGGAGAGGAGAGTATAGCGCGATAGAAGGGTAGCAGACAGCTGGTACCCTAATATCGCGCCATACTTTCTACCAGCAGTCTGCCACCCTCCTTTCCCCATACTCTCCCAGCTGTTTGCAATCCTCCAACGCGCCATGCTCTCTAGCAGCAGTCTGCTACACTTAAATCTCCCCAAACTCTCTTCTCCCAGACGCTGGTGCACGCTGGCCCACCCTGGTAGACGCTAGATCGATACCTATGTTTCCCAGACCCTCGAGACGCTGGTGGACGCTGGTAAACGATGAAAGACGCTGCCGCAAAGTATGAACGGAGCCTAAAACGGATTCATCTTGCTCACTAAGGCTTCTCAATTAGCCGTAATCGATAATGATTTACAGAACAGTACCAACAGCACCAACGAACCCGCTGATTGTGTGTGCTTTTATAATAAGGGTAATGACCAGCTGTGGCCTTGTTATCGTCAAAAAGATTGGCAAGAAAGGAAATGCTCGAGGTGAGTAAGCGGTGCTTCGTAGCTGTCGTAGTTCGAGTTCGCCATCATTTGTGTAAACTGCGCTTCGTGAACTTACGTTTAAAATATGAAGTCTAGGTGACATTTGACCACCAGTGACGAAAAAGGCGAGAATGAGTACTGTCGAATACGTTCCAAGTGACCCCCAAATAAGAGGTTTCAGCAGGAGCGATACTGCGGCCCAGAAGCGACCAGAGACGAAAAATGAGCGAGTTGGAAGACGTGCGAGATAACAAAGCTCGGTCCCACGCATTATGAAGGCAACGCTCCATAGCTGTTTCTAGGACCGCTGGCATGGATCGTTCCCACTTGAACGAGGCAACTTATGTGGGTGGTACCTCATTTGCTCATGACTACAGCGGCGCCCTCGTCATTCAGTCACGCGTAAACGTAGGGTTATAGCGCTGCAACATGACAATTCACCGTCGCTGCGGTCCCTGGTTTATGTTTGCGAAGTCGCAACTCGGACTTTGCCATCAGCCGCTAGTGGAAGGGGGCGGAATCTTCTCGGGAAGGGGTAAGGTGAGATGGTTTCAATAGAGCTTCTTGATTTCGTCCCCACCAATCATCGGTGGATATCGAAAACCTGAACGCAGTAATCAAGAGAGTCCAGGGACACTATGTGAAGTAGATTGCGCTCGGAAAGTTACTTTTCACATTGTGGGAACTCCTAGAGCTTTCCTCAGACTCCTAGAGCTGACAAAGTTGGGCGCAGCGCATACTAGAGTTCCCTCTGCCTTCAGGCCTTCATGAATTCTCTGGTTTCGGATGTCCGCACATTTGGCGACTGTCTCTCACCCTGATCAACAAACACAATGCCTACACATGTTCGTCGCTGCCGATTCGAATGTGTGTCAAAATTGATCCGCCACAGAAAAATGCAACCGATTTGAGTTAGTGCCTCCTTGTGGTCAATTATGGACGGTGGGCGCGCTGCCTAGGAGGCGGAGCTTCAGTGAAACATCATTGGTGAAGGGAGTAAGCCACGTTCCCTATCGCAGTAGGGCCCAACCCTATACTATCAGTGATCAGCGAACTCCTCCTCATAGCAACGCGCTCACTGCCTTCAACCTCAATCTTTTCGTGTTTCTCCATAAAACGATTCAGCCGATCGAATTCCCTTTTTCTGGGATATTATGACGACAACAACGATGTCACCGATACAGAGAGAGAAGGAAAGAAAAGCGGTGGATCGTGAAAAGGCCTACGGATATACGGTAAGATATGTACTATGTTTTTAAGCCAGCTCATTTGCTTACCATTCCGAAAGAGAACTGAAAGTGCTAAAAGGTACGGCTGTGAAGCAGGACCCGGATAAAGCCAGGAGTTGGCGGTACTGCACCCTGTTTTATCGCTTGACTGTTTGAATAAAACTACTGATGCACCTCGGCTAGGAGTGTGGGGGGAAGGTTCTGAACTTTTGCTATTTCCTACCGTCGTGTTCATTGTACACGAGTTGGCAGATATTCTTTAGCATAGCTGACTAGAGGTATCTACAAAATTCGACTGGTATCATTTCATGGCTTCACAAAATTTCACAGATCTCTACTCGATGGTCCAAAACGAGGATGAGAAGTAGCGGAAGTGCAGAATCTTCCCCCTAACCCGAACTCGCCGAATCGTCTCGGAAAGGCGGAGTTCAAATAGCTGTGTTTCAAGGGTGTGAAGGATCCGATTGCGCTGAAGGGCAAAGCAATGGAGAACATCATTTTTGCCGTCGATCAACTTACCGAAGAGGAGAAATGGGCAATCACTTACAAAAAATCAGAACTGATTCGTAAGTGCTCGTTCAACGGACAGGAATGTAAAGTCGATGAGTGAGTAGCAGTGAATATTTCTAGAAACTTGGACCATAAAAATTTAGATTGCCCTGGGTTTCGGGAAAATGAGATGAATAGCTTCATTTGAACACAGGTAATTAGGAAGAGGTGGCTCGGTGGTAAATGTGTCTCATTAAACGCGCACACGAATCGCATGAACATGGCCACCTGCACCATTTGGCCCTTGTCGCTCGCGAACGTCACCTTCCACGGAGGCAAAGAGCAGGGGTGCAGCAACGAGAAAGGTGGAATGATCCAAGGAGGCCTGTCCATCTGATCATCGTAGAATGTGTCTCCAAGAAAGAGTGAAGCACCCGGCGTCGATCAATCCTTCCAGACATGAGTCACGCAATAAACTTCATTCGGAGTGCTAGCGGCCTTCGAAGGTGACTTCGCCGACTATGCGCAAGTTTTTTTTTTCTCCAAGGCAAATGGTATAGACCAAACACTTTGGCGGATTGGGAGGCTCGGTTGGTCTGAGCAGCCCAAGTGCGTCTAAGTGACGCTGTTACCAGAAAGTCAGAGAAGAAATATCCTGGTCGCCATCCCTTATTATGTCACTGTGCATACTGATACAAGCAGATATTCAACTCTATGGTTTGGTCTCACTAAAAATCTGGCACCACTTCTCTCAGCGTGCTAGCAAGAATAAAATGGTCCAAAGCTTCTCTATTGATGATGCTGAGAGTGCTACTGTGCGTCCTAGCCAACTCCCCACTGCCTTCGACGACCTTTTACTGTGTGAGGTTAAATAAAACGAGCCAGTTAGACTTCGATAGCTTAAAGGCACATTCCGCGATAAAATAAGGCTATGACCTCTCAAATGTGTCGGACGATCCGGAAGGCGATTTTTGAGGCTGCGCTACTTTCAAAATGTGAAAAACGGCAAGAACTCCGCTAGAAGCTGACTAATTAGGCCCATGGACACCCCTTAGGCCCATGCCGACCCTCACCGGCTGCTAGCTACTAGCTAGTAGCCACTATGTTATCTTTCTATACATTTCGGACTGCTTTTTCTGCTGCTTTTCTCCGCTAATCAGATACTTAGCACTTTTTTGTGCCTATTTGAGTTCCGTTTCCCGCAATTTGCGGTCGCGAACTGTGCCTTTAATTCTTCTTACGCTTCGTTGATATGTGTTCTATTACTGCTACAACTAAGAGTGGACGTCGGAAGCATGGCTGTCTGGAAGACAATAGGCGCCTAGCACATACACTCCAGTTCGCTGTGGACGGTGGGGCGTGTCAAGGCAGTATGAGACTGTCAACCCGTCAAAGCCGTTCTCTGCTGCTTATTGAAGCGCGCATGCGACAAAAAGTGGTAGAAAACGAGTAATACGAACGATATGATACAGTCATATCATTTGCTCGCTTTAACAACTGGTGGAGAACGGGTTTGGCACCGCGCCAAACTCATCCCGCCTGACACGCCCAACCGTCCGCAGCGAACTACACTATGCACACTATTTCTGTAGCAGACAAGTCTGCCAAACGGTTCTTACTTCTGTGAAGAAACGTGAAGGTATTTGTTCGTTTCTCCAATTTCCACTCTTAGGGAGTTCCAAGCACATCTCGACCCAACCTATGGAGCCTGTTTCACCTACGTTGGTCGACATCCGCGTCAAATATCACAAACGAAAGAGCTGGACCAGCATACGGTGAGCCAGTTTTCCTGGTCTCAGTGTCGGTTCATAGTTCGCGATTTAGTAGCGGTGATTCGTTCCCGCGACTCCAATGGTACGAGCGAGCCAAATTGCTCCCACGATCAATGCCAAGTATAAACACTCTCTTGGAATTCCATAAATTAACAATGTTCTCGTAGGACTCCGTCTCGAACTTTTCGTCAATATATCTGAGTACTTACCGACAACAGAAGCAGCTGGTGTACGTCTTACTGTGCATTCCGTCAAAGAGCAGCCATTTCCGGACACTTTGGGACACTCTGCTCCTACCGGATTCGTCAGCAGTTTTGGTATAAAACTGGTAAGCCTGTGAATTCCTCATTAGTAATGTCTCGACAGTTGGAACAACTGGTTGTTTAGAAGTCAATGACTCGTCTTCCCGCTCCTTATGGCGACTGCATAACAGAAGGGCAAAGACAAGGACTTTATTTACGTCACTAAACAATATAATACAGAGGTAGGATAGCAGATTACTGGAGCGCTAATACTGATTCATTCAGCCCTTTAGAAGCTTCTTTTCCATCGTGTTGGGTTGGCAGACATGCAGAAAAGCTTTTTCAGGGTTGTCAGCGGAGCTGTATTCAGAAGCACTTGGCTACAACTTGCGGTTGTGGTGATCCACGCTATCCACCGTTTCGTAAAACCAAGAACTGTCCCGTTGATGATCCCAGTAAACGTGAGCAATGTTGTCCATTTAATACTGATTAAGGAAAGCAATAAGGCTTCCAGTAAAGAATAATACCTTCTCAGGATGCGCCTTGCATTCTACTATCTTTCAGAATCGTAGTGGCGTTTTGAATGCTATTTGGGCATGGTCATGAATGCGGGCTCAGCGATGTGAACGTTGGTTTTTGATCCTTCCAAGTCTGTAATAAGTGATACCCGTATCAAACACTGCACTCTACGCCATCGCGCGGAGTCATCTGGTACCACTTCACACTACACCTTTGCCATAAAAAAAGTGGTACGCTGACTACTACCCCTTTAATCACTGCTTTATTATTTATCGTAGTATTGATATCTTATGACATTCTAAAAACCCGTTCCAAATATGTATTTTCGTAGCAGTAGGCTGGGAAGCCACGGTTCCGGTTAGCGAGGCTTCGCAGTCGAGCGGAACAAAGTTTCCTTTCAACAAGCCACGATCTTGCAAAGCACTAAATTATGTATCAATTATCCCCGTGAGGCACCAGTAACCTTGGAGGGCATTTTAAGAGGAAATAGATATCATATTCGTAACTCAGGGGCAGCAACAAGCACGCTTTCGGCCACATGTGCTGGCCACATGTACAGGGGGGCCAAAAAAAAAAGTCATTCCGGCCGAGTCACATATGAGCGAAGTTTTCGCAGCCCAGACAGAGGAAGTGGATATGAGTACCAGGGCGGAAAGATACCCAAGATCTTCCTCTATAAGCAGGAGCCGGCTGCCGCCATTCACCTTCATGTACACCAAAATATGAAGTCATCTCCAGTCGCGGCCTGAGTGGAGAACGCCTTTGGAATTCACGTGGCCTCCAAACAGCTGCGGAACTTCTTGAATGGAATCACCCATGGATAGCTACCTGGAGACCAGTACTCTTGATCTGCAAGACCTCAAACATCGAGCAGCTCCGGCAACGTCGCTACGGTCCAGGACATCATCTTCACCCCATTCACCAAGGCGCGGGTTGATGGTATGGACCGGCCGTACATGGAATGAATGAACCGATATTTTCTTCGTGGACCCCGGGCTGAAGCTGAGCGCTGGCGGTTACATCGACCAACTCAAGAAGAATATCTTCCCCACATGTCGTCGCCCGTACCTTCTTGGAAACTTTGTACTGCTACAGCATTGGGTGCCACCACGTGCCTACTTGGAATGGAAGAACGTTGAGTACCTGGAAAAGATGGAGTATTTAAGCGGGGGTCCTGAACTAAACCCCCTCAATTACTCGGTTCGGGCGGGCTCAACAGGGTGGTCTACAGTGGCGGAGAAATCAACGATCTCGCTCAACTCCGGTACCCACTCACTTTGCGCGGCCGAATCTCTCGATGGCGCTCCTCCAGAAGGCTGTGGCGGAGTATCATTATAGTATTTAATGTGCTCTTTAATATGGTAGTAAAAATGTCCGATAAAAATTTAATAAAGTGTAACTTATAGCGCCTTGAAAGTCATGGAGGCAAAATGACTTTTTTTGCCCCCCCCCTGTATATCCTTCAAATGGCATATACTTGACTTATTTCCACTGCCAGACACACAGGCACGCGAATGAATGGAAAGCTGAAAAATGCAAAACATTTCCCGCGCGAGAAGGATCCTGTCATCAGAAAGCCCACCTTGTCGTCCATCCAGAACACCGTCGTGTTATCCTCTGCACCATCGATAAGTTGGACAGCAGCTCGTGAAGGGTTTGCTGACAAAAACATCACTCTTGCGTCGGTGCATGCCAAGTGTGTTACCACATGATACTTACATTTTGACTTTAATCGAATCTATTTTGAGGCCTAATTAGTGACACCTCATAAACTATGCATGCTCGAAGTTACAAGCAGAAGGGAGCCCATTAAGCGTTGCTCAAAAAACCGTCATTGTCAAATTCTTTTCACTCAGTTTTTGACCTACCCAGAAACGCATAGCAAAAATGAAACCCATTTTTGTGACCCTTGTATGGACCCCTACAACAAGCAACAAACCATTTCCAAAAAGCGCGTCATGACCTGAAACACCTCCCTTGTAAGCTATGTTGACACTGTACTTTGAGAACGTCCTTGACACGAGGGCGACGGTTGGTCCTCAAATGGAGCCAGAGTTTGTTTGCTGTATTAAAGCAATCGGGCAGCTGGCTTACTTTCGACTGCCAGCTTTCATTGCTACTATCGATAGTTTTAATTTACAGGAGAATGCCTAAAACGAGAGATGCAGCACGCTGTACGAAATCCTAAAGCAATCGGATGCAAATGCAGGCAACCATGCAGGTGGGCTCTTGCCATACTTATCGGGGCAGATCTTACGCTAGGGATCTCCAGCAAGGGGGGGCGAGCATGTAAGCGAACCTTAATCTTACTACCATGTCTGCATTTGTATGCAACCTTTGCAGCTTCATCGAGGAATAAAGAGTATGCGCTTTAGTACCCCGGTTGCGATTACCCGCCACAAACTAGCCCGTCTGGGCTAATATTCTCTACTGGTTGATTCCTAGCAGTTTCTCGTCGAATCAGTTGACCTCCACTGACGGTCATGGCTGGGAGACAGGCACCTGACGCCACCTACAACGGCGCTTTTGCTGCGTCACGATTATTCGGATCTCCTGAATCCAATCAGACCTCTTGACCCTTTCTCTGCATGTATAAGTATTTTTTGCAGTTTTCTCAGGGTACTGTTTCCAGCCAAGACGTCTATTCATGGTCCTACTCAGCAGCTCGCTGGCCAGCCGTTCCCGGCGATCTAAGTGACTGTCCTGTTGGAATGACTCCACCTCATTGCTTGTTGTACAAAAGGTAGGATTTCACATACTTCTATCAAGAAAGAAGGGAATGGACAGAATCTACGCTGATCCCTTTGTCTAATCGGCTACACTTTTCCTTTCCCATGAGCATCGCGCTTCTCTTAACCGTGCTCGAAATTTGGGTGCACCTAGCCTGCGTTCGGCCCACCACATCAATTTGGGCCTAACATCCCAGTGATACCTGGTTCAGCGATTGGAGGATCGAAATTACTCTGAAGAGTCAAGCGCGCGAAAAGGAAAGCGTCGATCCAGAAAAGAAAAGATAAAAGGGCGTACTGTCCCTGCGGTCTATTTCCTGCGCGCGCGAGAATGTAGAAGAGGAAGCCTACTCCGAGTCTGCCTGCTTCTTTCCTTTCACGTTTTTTTTTTTCAAAAACAGGCCAGTAATAAAAGCAGCCTCTTTTTCTACAGGGACGGAAGTTTTCATGCCTGGAGGCTGATAGAAAGGTTCACAAATGGTCATTGAATGTCTTATTTTTAGTGCTTTATTCTTTTTAAATTGAATTTTCAGAGAACAAGGCGCAATGATTGAAGTCTATTTCGAACAGCTCAATTACGAGTCACTGCTTGAAAGTGAAGCATATGGGGTGAGTTTCAGAAACCGGTTCCTCGAATAAGCGTGGTGCTATCTCCCGATATTAGTATCCCGTAGTTCTATGGGGGGAGGGGGGAGGAACAAGAGAAGTCTCGAAAAAAACCCGAAAAATGGTTAGTGAAGTTCAGAAGATAGTAGGCAGGATGGGAAGGGAAGTCTTTGCAGAATTCGGAATTCGGTTGTTTATGTATTTTGCAAGTTTCTCCTCAATGATAAAACTCGCCCTAGTCGTAGAGCTTTATTAAGAAGTTAATCTGACGCAACGGCTGTGGTCTGGATTAATTGTCCAAGTCAAAGTCTCTGTGTCGCAACAAGTTTGCCACTAGTGAGCACGGTCAACCTAAAACTGATAACATCCTCAGTTGGTGTGCAGGATTGAATCATAGAAAACCTGTAAGTATCTGCGCTTCTGACCAAAGGTAGGAGCGGCACGTTACATCCTCGTTTCGAAATAGGCGCTGCAAGCAACGTCACGTGCGCGACATTCGCACCAGGGCCTAGCTGATTTGAACTGGAAATGCTGCAGTATGTCGAGCCAACTAGCTAGGAATCATTAGCCATATCGTGCGCAATGCCGTCACACGGAGATAGCGTCCAACATCCTCATCGTCTCGCCCACCATATGCGACATAGAAAGGCTTGATGTATGGGATTACTTGCAAGTTCATTCTCCATTTTCAGTTATCGAATCTGCTCTCAGATTTCGGAGGACAACTAGGCTTATGGATGGGAGTCAGTGTTATTACTATTATGGAGGTACTGTAGCTCTTTACCACTTGTGAAGCCGTATTACCTTCAAATTGAGCTTTTCAGGTATTTATTCTGATATTCGACGTCTTCTTGACGATTTTCGGGCTGACAGTTGGCCCTAAGAAAGCTTACTCCACTAGCCATCGATGAAAAAGTCCATTCGCTTGAAGAAAAGAAAGTGCTAGGGACGTTGCTAGCCAGAAACTGCGCTTCAAAAGTTATCACAAGAATGTTGAATCTCGAGCAGAAGTCTCAACCTCAGGGATAATAAAGTGTTGGAAATGCACTCCAGTGGTTGCGCCTTGTGAAACAATTTTTCAGTGTGATTTGTGGCTATGCTATTTTTCATTATTTCAACTTTAACAGGAAAAGCAGTTAAACTGTAACCGGAAAACAGTAGAAACCGCCAAACCTAACTAGTATTTTATTTTTTACTTCCGCGCTAAATCAATCAGATCCTAATGTGAGTTCCTTGGCAGCGCAGGATACTCACTTGCAACCCACTCCCTACGCAACAGGACCTCCCGTCATGCGCCCTTCGAAAAGTGATCTGCTTCAACTAGCTACGGGCCATTATTTATTATTTATTTATTTCGCGTTTAGACGCCCACAGTAGCACAATCAAGAAATAAAAACCTGTTGTTTTGTTTTTTTGTAGTACTCAGGTTCTCCAAAGACCTAATAAAATGGAAGCAGTCGTGATCATACTCGCTAATTTAATAAATTACGTCATTACGCTGGGTATGTGACTAGACAATCGTAATTCACCATGCTGGTGGGCATCGCGTGCGACGTCGCGCGCGCAAATGACGATGTTCCTAGGTGGTGGATGGCAACAGCAGCCAATGTATAAACAAAAAAATGGCCATAGTTGCTATGATGTCATAGTCTACGTGAACTCCGGGGCTCCAATCGACAAGATAATGCAAATCAAGAACAACCGGGACCATTAAAGGGCGCGACGAAGCGGCAAATTACGATTGTCTTGACCGCCTACCCGTCACACTAATACCACTCCTTGCTGTAGTGACTAGTCAATTACCTTCACTACGCCTCAGACTTCGTGCAATGTCAAAAGATTTATTTACAATTCATATCAAATCTTCGAAATGTTGGCAATATGTTAAAACTCTTCATATCCTACAATTTCATAAAACTACAAGGAATGTTTCGACTCTTCTTGAATCTGCTTCCGTACCATGAACACTTTCTCAATACCCTGAATAATCACACGATCACAAATGGACAAGGCAGTACACTCATTAAGATAAGGCACAGTTCTCCGCAATGAGCTCACCTCTTTAAAACAGTTAAAGTTATAGTCGATCAATCCTTGCTTCTCAAAGTTCTCGCCACGTATAACACAGACAAGCGCCAGATGCTTATTCAGTTGACGAAGGAACATTACCTGTCAAAATTGGTAAGTCAGTACTTCCAACTTTGCTCGCTGCAAATGCTGAGGCGTCCAGGGGGCTGATGGCGTAGCGCAAATTATGGTCGCCTCCCAGCTTCTACTATTGGTGGAGAACGGGTTGGCACTGCGCCAAACTTGCGCCAAACTCAGCCCCCTGACACGTTTCAGCATCCTCACACACTCACAAAGCGACCAAATCGAAATGTCGAATAAAAATAATAACACGATAATATACTCGACATGCCCTAAAATTTGGTAAATGTCAATGTACCTGGTCAGTTTTGAGTCGGATGACAGCATATGAGTTATCGTCAAAAGGGCTTATCACTTCACCATCTTTCTCCTTGGCGCTGAAACAACTAAAATCATTTACAAATCTTCCAAAGAAGAGTTAGCTGCATCAAACAAACATATGCAGGAAAAGTTATCAATATAAAACTAGGACAAGAACCCTCGCGCCGACCTATAGCCGGCTGGGAACCCTATCCAATAAGTGTACATTTTTGCCATCGGCACGAAAGTATTCAGAAAAGCCTCTGCTCAAATAAAGGTATAGCAGCTTAGCTTGGATGAAGGGTGTCATCTAGGATGATCTGACACAGTCGCAAACCCATTCTCCACCAGCTCGCTAGGCAGGCGAGATAAAAAAACTGGTGAAAACTTACTGACTGAAACGGATAAGATAGAGCCTTGTCGTTTTGTGCTTCAACAACTGGTGCAAAACCGAGGTTACGCGCCTTGCGCCAAACCCATGTCCCTCCTGCCATCCGCAGCCGAATCAGACTGCCAATCATTAACAGTTCCCGAGCTCCCTTTTCTAGGAAAAATCCGGCACACAAACAATTCTGTTCACTCATAGCAGCAATTGTTATACCTTACTGCAGTAACATCCGAAACATTTCTCCCTGTTCACAAAGCTTGGAAAACCGCCATATTTCGTAGATATAGTTTCAGTCGTAACTGCCGTACGCGTATTATAACAAAAAAACTCCAGATGCCATGGTTTTATCGGCCCATAAAGGATTAGGAAAAACCATTACATAGCTGAGTATCTGAAATTGATAACCACCAAATTACTAAGCAGGGTTGGTTAAAAAGGCACTGGGCCAGCACACTGATCGTTGCCCATGCCCAGCCAGAGCTAACAGATTATTAGTTAACTTCCGTCCTTGATAGCTTGCTAACGTCGCACTCTGTGAGAGAGTTTGGGAGGGGTGAATACCAGCCCACGTGCAGCCGTTTTTAAACCACTGGCTGCTCTCTAACAGAACACGATCACTTATTATTAGCAAAGCCCAGTTAGAGGGATGTGCTCACTCACGCCTCCTGACATTCTCCGTCGGACTGCGCCTGTATGAAGTAAGCTCTCAATTACAGGGGACATGTGGTTTATTAGCAAAATGACCGTCAAACGTAGTCATCACGACAAAGCTGCCTAATCTGACGGCTAAGCAAATGGCACACAGTTGCACAGTGTTCGCTGCCGATGCTCGCCGGGCCAGCGGATTGAATAACAGGCGGTGCAAGCATCGTTCTATCAATGATTGGCGAGCGGGGCTGAGGCGTTTAGAAGGGCACTTGGCGGGGAGGGTCATGTTTGGTGCGAAATGTTCTCTTATTCACGACGCTATAAGATGGGAAACGGCTTCCTATTTGCTCTTTTGTTGGGAGGCCGGGGAAGGTCCGTCTTGTGCCTTTCGAACGTGAAGATTGCCGCGCTGTACCCTAATCTGGTATGTCGAGCGTCAATTCGTTTTTACCAATTGTTAAGCACTTTTGGCACTTTCGACAGACTGGCCAGGTGAGAAGACTGCGGTAGCGAAAAGCTCAGTCCTTGACAAACTTCAGCATCAGTAGCGAACAAGCCTGAACGGAAGCGTAGTACTAAGTGAATAAGGAGCCCTACGCATCGAAATCACGTCGTGATGTTATATAGTTAACTCGTGGTATAAATCGCAAACTTGCATGATCTGATTTCTTCCTCGGAAGGAGGCAAGCTGTAACTTCTCGTGTATATAGCACATGCATGAGTAAGGGAGGAAAGAGTATTATAAATAGAAATTTTAGAACGCAACCCACAGATTACCAGATATGTCGATATAACATCCCAATCCATATCGCAAACATGCTCATAGGCTGCCATTTCCACCGGAGTTGTGTCGGTGGCTATATAAATCTTCGAAGCTACATCGAATAAAAACGACTTTTCGACGTTTGAACCCTGCAATGGGAGAACGAATAGAATGGGAGAACGATACAACTGGGATAGAGCGAGTATTTTTCAGCATCAGAAATGCACAAATTCTCCGGTAGGAATTCATCACAGACAATGATCAAATGAATTTTTGATCATAACCAGCCATTAGTACAGCAGATGAGTTGAACTAAATCATGTCAATTTTTGTGAGACCGGCATATAATGGAGACTAGGCAGGGCACGAAAGTGAGGCCTTTTAGAGGAAATAGAATCGCTCCACCCCGCTCTTTGATGACCTCTCTTGATAGTTCAATAGTTACCCTTTTGTCCCCTTGTCTTGACGGAATTTTCCCGTTGTAACTTCTCCTGATACTCGAGCAGACAGCGAGGAAATACCGCGCAAAAGAACGCCAAGGGATCTAATGGTATATAAACAACAGAGACCGATACTTTTCGGAGGCATTTCTAAAGGCGTCTCGGCGCCGTTCGGCTTGGAGGGGGGTACCTTGCACTTTCGCTAGTTTCTTCTGCTAGAACATGTTAGCTAACAGGATGACACCTGTAAACTCCTGGAAATCTGCGAAATGATACCAGCGAGCTAACTTTGTAACTGGAATATACAGGTCTCCACACAGTGGTTTGTACGATCACGCGCAGTACCATTTGGTGCCCCCAACAAGCCGAACAGCTCCGGATTCTTTCGTCATCAGTGGGCATGAGAGTGATAAGCTGTTGGTGTCCTTGTTACGCACTATTGAGCTGCGAAGGCGGTACCGCCTCAGCGGTTGCGCACGTGACTGCATCACATGCACAAGAGATATACCGACTCAGCTAAGAACCGTCGTAATCGAGACTTCTGGGAAATGATCATAGCATTTGTGGGTCAAATGCACGTCCCGCAATCAAAAACGACAGAGTGGGCTTTAAGTACTAATGGCAGGGAAGTAAGTAACTCAATAGTGAAGAAGAAAAGCAGAGGAACCTTCCGAAATACTTTAACTAGGACCCTCTGACGATGTGACCTCGCACGTACATAAAAAGAAGAACGGGTGAGACTGCATAAGTTGTTGTCCCAAGGGTATCAGCTCCTTTCGCGTACAACCTCACTGCGAGAACTGGTAAGGAAAAAAAGTCGTAGCGAAACAGCCACAGCATGAGCAAGTGTCTAAAAATGAACTGGGTGTGTTGCGGGACAATGGGCGGGGCACTGCCTTGGTCATGAGTGGATGTGTCGTTGTTTCCTATTTCTGAGCCTCGAAAATTTTACATCTCTTGTCCTTGCGGGCAGTAGTGACAGTTCGAGAATGGCCAAGTGAAACGGACGCATTTCCCAAAACGGGTTAAAGGCAGTGGGCGCGATAAGTTATGCCTAGTAGAAGAACTCTCATCCTATGAAAACACTGCACGCAGCGCTCTACAACAAAAGGCGCGCTCAAGGCGACCTGACAAAGCCTAACATTCTTAATATTCCTCCCTCGGCGTTTTAAAGTCAGACACTACCAGTAATAGATACCTGGTTAAAAATGTCCAGAAGCCTCTCAAGTGTGGGAAGTCGTTTCACAAGATTCTGTACCACTTTCGAGAACGCCTCAAATATTGAGTGATCATAGATGGATGTCAAATGGAATGTTACATTGAAATCTTCCAATCCCTGTTCCGCTAGCTCGCACTTCACCTGAATCACGACACATTACTCATGTGATACTTCAGAATGAATTCAGATGTAGTAGATAGGAAACTGAACAAAATAGGGCAATTACGAACCCTATGATAAATGTCATACTGAGCATCGACGCGGCTTTCTTCAGTTAAGCCGTCAGCCTAGAAAACTTGTTTATTACTTTTTGTCATTTTAAAAGGCTACAGTATGTTTCATACCTAAGCTACTTTAAAACAAGTAAAAACGGTGTGAGCAGTCATAGTCATAAAATAGTATGAGCCATACCTTGTGTATGAACACTTCGAACTTGATGTTGGGATTGATCCGAAAGGCTTGAGTGAAGTTTTCAGACATCTTCTTCAAGGAGTCTCCATATTCATCTTG